GACCTTCTTGCTGTGAGGCAGCAGTACTAACCACTGAGCTATTGTGCAGCCAGTTTGATAAATCTTCACACTGTCAACAATTTTGTACTAAACAAACATTTACTTCTGTTATTTAGAAATAAACAAGGTGACACATGGTACTTCTGTAACATCCAGTGATTCTGTCCAACAAGTTTTTTTATATATATTTCTAATTAAATAAGTGTATAAAACTGACAACAGTGAAAAGGTTTTAAAGAACAGCATTCACAGGAACTGTGGTGAAATCTGACAGATTAAGGTTTGTTCTAAAATGCAATAATCCCGTTTATGAATGGGTCCATTCAGCCCATACTGATGTAGTAAACATGGCTAGTCCCCATGGATCCACTTTGACCATATGCGTCTCCAGTCTTAAAAATGTTACAGTGGACTGTGCAAAAGCTACCATTTGAACCTTTACACCCTCATCAGTTTCGCACTACGTGGTAATTTTGGCAGAAATATTTAAGAAGTTCACATTGTGACCCCAGGATGGCCCAAAGTGCTACTAGTAACAGCAGCAGGTGTTTTTTTTACACTTGGAACTGATGACAGTGTAAAAGTTTATAAAGTTGTGATTATAAAACCTGCTAAAAATGTAGGGTTAATTTTGTCTACTTTTAGGCGTCGCAGTGTTTAAAGCCTCACAGCAAGAAGGTCACAGACTTGCCTCCAGACTTTTCTGTGGAGTTCGCATGTTCTCTCCGTGTGTGGGTTTTCTCCAGGTAACTAAATTGTCCCTAGGTGAGAGTGAAAGAGTGGCTGTTCGTCTCGTTTGTCTCTGTGATAAGACTTTTGATCAGTTCAGAGTGCCCCCTGCCTCTCACCAGTGGCTGCTGGAGATAGAAAGCTGCTCCCCGTGACCCAGAACAGATGTTTAAAGGCAGCAGCAATCCACTTTGGTCATGGCTGCCGTCGGACCGGCATTTATTTCTCTAAAGTGAGGATGCTCAACAAGTCAGAACCCCTCTCAGAACGCCTGAAATGTTCCTTTAATGTCCTTCCACCCAAGTCTTACCTGAAGGGTAGTAGAGGGGCTTATACTGGGCGGTCTGGGGGGTAAACCTTTTGAAAGGTGGGTTTCCTCTGTTCGCAGGGTTCAGTAGTCCCTGCATGCTGCTGAAGGCTCCTCCAGAGTACTGGTGTCTCAGAGACACAGGTATGTGTTGGGCTGGAGCAAAGAAAGGGACACCTCTTTGACCCCCCACCAAGTATTGTGGTGGAACTGGGGTCCCGGTCTGAGGTTTCTGGTCTCGTCCCTGATCAGGATGGTATGGAGCAAACTGCAGCCTTGCAGGCGGGGTCGGTGAACTTTCTGCAACACAAACATGAGAGAGGTCGGTTCGGCAGGTTGTCACAGCTGAATGAATAATAAAACATTGCTCACTTCTCTTCTGGCTTTTCTCCCCGATCTCAACGTTCAGACTCGAATACCGAGTCTTGACGTCCAGGCCGGCTTGAATCCTGGCTTTATTCTTGGCCGTGAGCCTCCGGAGGTTCGCCAGGAGTTCGGGGTGGCTTCTCTTAAAGTTGGGGTTGTAGAAGAAGTGGTAGGAGCTGCCGTCCTTCACCCCCTGGATCATGGTGGGCTCCTTCTTCTTGAAGCCGTACAGGTTGAGCTGGCGGATGAAGCTGGAGAAGTTGGTGGTCTTGAAGCCAACGTCTCGGTGGAGTCCGGCGGACAGAATCTGACTCTGGAAGAGCGACTGGTCGATGACCACCAGTTCACCGTGGCTGTCCCAGCGGATGGCACCGATCCCTGGACTGTTCACCAAACGCCAGAGTTTGGCTGGAAAAATGTTGGTGTTGACGGCCTCCTCCATGTTTGATCCCGCTGAGCTGAAACAGGCTAACTTAGATCACGTTAGCTTCGGTCAGGCTAAGCTAACTCGGGCTTTTAATGTAGTAAATAAGCTAACTGTTTAAATTTTCACTCTTAAACGCTCAAGAAAACCCACATGCATATTTTAGTATAAAACCAAATGTTTAAAAACTTTCAACACTGAGAGTATTAATATTAAACATCTTAATTCGTTTTCTGCTAATTTAACAAATGCTAATTTGTTAGCCTAGCTATTGTTAGCATGCAGCGCTAAATGGCTAATTTCCTGTTTGGAAACATGATTAGAAAAAGATGCGACTTTATTTAGGCTTACGTAAACATGTAACTCACATTCCTTGTTTGTACATTTACAGTGAAGCCTCCTGAATCAGAACATTAACCTACCTGGATGGAAACCGCCGCTGCTGGTTCTGGAACCGTTGGAAGTCCAACCGCTCCATTCTGGACCAACCGTCACCGCGTCCCGTCTTGTATGGCGGGTGGACTGTGACAACCATGAAATTAAAAACTTTTAAAGGTGCGTTTATTTATTTCATGGGATATTTCATTCATGAATTGTGTATTTAATAATTTAATTGTATATTTAATGATTTAATGATGTATTTGAAAAGTAAATGACACGTTTAATTATTGTGTATTTACTTATTTAAGTGTGTCACATTCCACCCTTCATAGTCCAAAAGGTTGCAGAAATCCACTCATTACAGCTCCTTCATATTAAAAACATTACGTCATTGTGGTCTCCATTAACAGCCTGGTTTGAAATAATATTTAAAAATAGAAAAGTTAATATTCCCACTTTCAGGTCAGCACTTTGTTTCTGTCCATCCTTCATAATCAAGCAGCTCCCGTTCCTTCGCAGAAGCTTGTGTCCAACAATCTTCTAATCTAACCAGAGAATCCCTGGTTGGATTTGATGACACCCCCACAGCATGATGCAGCCACCACCATGCTTCCTTGTGATAACGGTGTTCTCAGCATGAGAAGAGTTAGGTTTGCCTCTCAGTGGCTCAACTCTTCGGCTTTAGTCTCGTCAAAACACAGCACCGGCATCTTGGGGGAGTCTCCGTTAAGCCTTGTGACAAGTTTAACAACTTAAACTACACACTGTAATTCTTGACGTGGTAATGTTTGCATCTGGTGCTTTGATGTTCAGTTTTTTTCTTATATATTTACATGAAAAGTAGGAAATAATGTTTCAAATCAATTACTATCAGTCCTGGTAGAGGGAGAAACATTAGTTTCAGTTCTGCTGTTTATGTTGATTTACACAAAGTTTTGTATTTGGGTGTTTTACTTCGAAACCGTGGTAAGACGAGCAGCGATTTACGTTTTTAAAATGGATGCAGGCTGTGGGGTAGAGGCAGGGCGGCCGACTGGGACCAGAAAGTCGCAGTTCGACTCCCAGCCATCCCCACATCTCGTGGTGTCTCTGAGCAGGACACCTAATCCCTAATTGCTCCCCACTGCTCCACCTGGGTGTATCTCAGGTGTGATGGGTTACAGAGAACTAGTTTTGCCATTGCATGAGAACATACAATGATGACAATCTCAAACTTCCCTTCAGTTCTATTAGCAGGACACATTTAAATAAATGCTCCAGTGAAAAGTATGCCCATGAAGTTTAAAAAATATATATACTAACTGAATTAACATTTTAAAGTCTGTCCTGAATTTTGAAGAAGGTTGATGGAGAAAAGTTTACAAGACAGTGGTGAGACCAGTTATGTTGTCTGGTCTGGAGACAGAGACACATGTCTACATGCAGATAGAGAGGACATGGAGGTAGATGGAGTGAGGACAGAAGACGCAGAGGATGCAAACCTTTGGATAATTGGAATTAAGACTTTAGAAAATTCAATGCACAGGTAAGAACAACTAATTTCTATCATATTTTAATAAAAATATAATTTAGCACTAACATTTAAAGCTACTTTGTATCAACAGATTTATTTGCTAATACCACACAAGTTTTTTCAGATTTTATTACTAATGTTTATACGTAATGTAATTACATGAACACAGGAGTTTTACATAAAGCTTTTGCTTGGAGGTAATTATTGTCACCGTCATCTTATTCTTAGTGTTCGTCTTTGTGGCTTTGTTTTCAGAAACAATCTGTCTTTTGTCGTTCTGTCTGCAGTTCTCCTCCGATTCTGACCCGATTCCCTCCAGTGGACCTGGACTCTGTAAACCTGCTGCCCGGCTGACACCAGGGTCCCAATGAAATGACTTTGATGAAATGTTTAATAGAGTTTAACTGATAAAACTGCATTGAAAACAACTTTGTCAACATTTGTTTTAGCCAATCATGTACAGCATTTTCATTAAAATTCTTATTTTATTCTTTGAATTTAGGCCATTGTTATTTTAATAAGTTATGCGTACTGCTGTGCAATGACTTCTGTTGTGACTTGGCGCTATATAAATAAACTGAATTGAATTGTGTTGATGAGATAAGCTGGTATACAATTAATTATGATGAAAAAATTGTCATTAATATAGAAAAAACAAATTCATGCTTAGTATTAAAACTTTATTCCCAGTTCCCAGGTGTATATGAACAATTTTCAATAACTTGCACACAACTGAAAAAATGCTTAAGTACTTTTGTGGTTGACTGCATAACTATAAAACATAATTGTAGACCATAAATAATTTGCATGTATAAATTATAAACAATAAAAATCTTTTGTCTTTGTTTTGGAGTCCTCATATAATTTATAAGTTTGTTTAGGCCTCCTCCCAACATGGTGGACGTTTCTGCTGCAGCCTCTGGTTCATGTCTCCACTGAGGACTTCTGATTCAGCTCTTTCAAACATTTCACTTATTAACAAACAAAGCTGTTAGAGATCCCAACTACTTTAATGCTTCTGTTGTTTTTAAGTTGTTTAAAATATTACTTTGGTATTTTATTGTATTTTATAATTTTGCTGTATTATTTTACTCATTTTTTAAAATAATTAACCCCATTTTGATTGTTCATTGTCTGCATATAGTTTATATACAAAGTAAAACACTGGGATATTTTTCGTAGTTTATTTAATTAAATTAAATAATTAAAAAATAAAAACTTTTTTGTTCAGGCGCGAATTGAGGACGCCTTTGTGCGGGTCTTGTTTTCTTGTTACGTCATTTCCCAGCGACTCGGAAGACATTCCAAACAGAAAACGATCCGAATTTTTCTTTAATATTTCTTCTGTATTTTGTAACCAAGTCGTAAGTAATGGCGTTGGAAACGGTGCCAAAAGATCTGCGCCATTTGCGAGCCTGTCTGCTTTGCTCTTTAGTGAAGGTAAACCTCGAGTCACTACAAACAAACTCATGCTAATGCTAGCCGCTACCTGCGTACTTGCGTTAATTCAATGTTTTATTTACGATGTGTCTTTTTCTTATTGTTCATTTTCAGACCATCGACCAGTTTGAATACGACGGCTGTGATAACTGTGAGTCGTACCTGCAGATGAAGGGGAACAGAGAGATGGTTTATGAGTGCACAAGCTCCTCGTTTGATGGGTAATCGATCAGCATCGATTCATTGATCACTTCTGAAGCATTTTGCCTAGTTGTCTAACGGATTGTATTTAACTGGGATGAGCTCTTTGCACTTGAACTAATAATGAATGTTTATACAGTGTCATTGCCATGATGAGTCCTGAAGACAGCTGGGTGTCTAAATGGCAGAGAATAGGTAAGAATATAGACATTCTGCCAGTTAACCAAGTATTCTGTGTAGTACAGTATTATAATGGTTTTCATTAATACCTTCTGATTAGATATACAAGCAAATAACATTAATACCAGTCTATTAGATGTAGGTGCTGGTTAAAGTTATTTGTTTCCATTACATACTCGGCAGTTAGAAGTTTGTACTTATTGTTGTGTCCATGTGCTTTTTGTGCGTCTTTGTCCAGAGTTAGTGAGGTTTTATGTTCATAATCTCTCCTTGATGCTGATAGGTTTGGTATAAAGAGCAATGAAAGGAAGGCTCAACTTTTATTCTGTGGATGTGTCCACAGACTACATAAGTGAGTGGAGATTTACAGCCTTTGTAGCAAAGCCAGTTTCTCACTGGGCTGTTACTGGCTGGTTGGCAAATGACATTCACAAGCAAATCTTCAAAATTGTCTCCACGCATTTTGTTTACAGGAATCTTGAATCCGTTGCAGAGGCGCACAGTGTTGTCTCCTGAATTTTAAACCATTGATAAAAGTGTTGCGACATATTTTCCCCTCACAATAGCTGCAGCGTTCTTGTACGCGTCATGAACCCTTCTTAATTTTGTTGGTTATCTCCAACCCGTGTTGCATTTGAGCGTTCTTACCAGAAACATCCCAGGATACATCTCTAAATGTCAGGTCTAAAAAAAAAAAAAAAACCTGCTGAGGATAATTAGTAGTAGTAAAATGGCTTAAAACTTCCCGTCTTCATATCAAATGTGTATTCCGGTAGATTAAATCTTCAAAGTAGGGCAGAGTTAAACGAGCTGCGCTCCTGTTGTGCAGTTCTCTAAGCCAAGCACATGGAAGTGATTGTTTGCTGGTAACTTGGTCACAAATACTCAGAATTCAGTGAAACTCTGAAGAAATCGACTCAGTACTTGGCTAACTTTAGCTGGCCCTCAAACTAACGGAGATCCCAGTTATTCAGTAGAATGTATCACCAACATTACGACAGTTTACTAAAACTGGAAAAGTACAAAATCACCCGGCGCTATAAGACAATCTGTTTCTTTGTGAGGACACGTCAGCGTTCATGTTCCTTACATCACAGACATGCCAGGGTTTTATTATTTACACTGGTCAGCATGATGGAAGCTACAGATTCACAAACTATAGTTTAAGTTTAATTAACGATCGTCTACAAACAGCCCTCAGGTTTTATCATCTGTGTGGCACGATGTCGATCTGTCCATGTGGACTTCATCTGGATTATTTTAGTATTTCTGCATTTAGTTGGATGTTTATAATCTACACAAAGGTGAATTTGAATCTATTATAATCATACTTCAGGCATTCTATCAAACATCTATTACTCATAAAGACTGAAGTGTAAAAGTTCACGTTTTAACCATTTTGGTTTTAATAAATTGCACCAATTGAAAATATTTTTCTGTTTTCCAGGCACCTTCAAGCCAGGTGTATATGCTGTGTCTGTGACAGGCAGACTACCTCCAGGTACATTTGTTTAAAGCTTTACACACCTGGACTGTAAAGGTTTCATGTTCCAGTTGCTACACTTACCTGTTGTTCCCGGTTTCGTTTTCCTCTAAAGGTGTGGTGAGAGAGCTGAAAAGCAGAGGAGTCATGTACAAATCCAGAGACACGGCAGTGAAAACATAACCCCGACTGTTTCCTGCTAACGTCATCCGCTTGAGCTGAAACATCTGTGATGTTTTAAAAAAAAATTTTATTTTCATTGTGAATGTTCTGCAAGTTACAGGAAAAAAGGACAAAATCCTAAACTAAGAATAAAGGTCTGTTTTTTCAAGAAAAGCATTTGTTTGGGTCTCAAATTTTGTGGGATTTAATCTGATACCCATTTAAAAGCTTTGTTTTTTTTAGTTGAGCAAATTGAGAGCCCAAGATGATGTTCATCCAAATGTTTTGTTAAAAAAAAAAAAGAGTTTAAAAGTTTGCTTCCTGAAGCAAAGTGATAAAGTCAGCAGAGCCGGGTACCAACTGAGAAAACCTCCGCATGAACAGACTGTAGTGGAGTCATGGAAACCAGCATCCTCATGGTAAAGATGAAAGGCGGCTCAGTAGCTACAGTGATGCTGAGAATCCCTTTGTCCAAACGAACCACCTGCAGATGTGTAAATCTTTATGGAACCTGTTAAGAGGACCAGTCGGGGACAAAGTGCAGGACACTTAAAGGTCCTACAGCTGTTCAGGATGGTGATGGGGATACCATCAAATTAAATTCCCAGGATCTTGTCTCATTTCAACATTGAGTTTTCATTTTTAGGATGATAAACGCTGTAAAGCCTGAAGGGTAAAAAACATGTTGAGCTGGATTAAAAGTCTCCTCAGACTGTTTCTCACATTTATGATAAAATGTCCTCAAAATACATTGAATAAACAAGTTTTGTAACGTCTGGTAGGCTGTTGGTGCATAAGTTCCTGGTGAATGGAAAATCCAAATGATCAACTTCAAGCTGGTCTGGCATCAGACCCTGTTTGCTTATTCTGGTCCCAGTATACCACTGGTTTACGCCTGTACTGTAGGAATGTTCATGGCTTTATAACTTTTGGATGAATTAAGGCTCTGGGGGAACTGGTACAGGTTTAACTACCAGAGGACCCTGAGATCCATCTATTGAACTCTAATCCTAATCTCATGGAGGCTCCACTGACTGCAGCTGTGCTGTGTAGTTGGGGTTGGTGGGACGGAGGGAAGTGGATTCACCCGTTCACATGAGGTAGAAACAGCAGGCTTGCTCAGATACGTGCAAAGTGAGGTGAACACTCAACGCAGGAAGTTTCAGATGAACAACGGGTAGATTTATACTTTGTGTCAAAAAGGCCACAGGTGGGAGTTTAAACGAGTATTTCAGTGGATTAAAAATGTAACATTTTGGAGCCATCATGATTCAACGTGGTCACCACTACCTGCTGACATCAGCAAACACAAACGGCTACAATTCAGTCAAGCTGACAGATATTGTGCTATAATTTGGTGCAGCTGAGAGTGATTCACAACACACACCAGGTGTGACTCATTGTACGAGATCTTTGCTTAAAACTTTTAACATTAATTGTCAGAGTCAACACTGTTGGCAAACTATTCCATGATCCACTGGACACAGAGATTAAACTTTCAGAAAGAAATCCTTAAACGCACATCAACACCTTCTTCATAGAATGATAGGCTTTAATTGATTTATTAATCACCGAGGACATCTAGACGTCTTTCACCACCAGGAGATGAATTCAGAACTCCCATCACTGGTTTGGGTCAACTCTTGAAGAAACCGTGTGATTTATCATATAGACCACAAGATGGTGCGTTGGACTGATTTTTGGAATGACATGCACTTAGTGAGCTCAACCAGAGGGGGAACCATTGACCTTTTCCTCAGTAATGTCAACTAATGAGGCAAACACCTCTCAGTTCCACACCCTCCTGTGGTCACTGTTCCCATAAACAAAAGGTTGGACAGAAGAACATCTCATGTTCACTGGCTGCTATCGTCATCTGCTGAGACCCAGGAAAACAACGCATTTAATGCCTGCAGGCTTGTGTACGGTCTGATTTCACATTCCCCTGGAGTATCAGGGTCACGTGCACCCCAAACTATAGATCTATGCGAGTATTCCACAGCACAGCTGATAATGAGGATTAGTCACTACTCCCTGCATGCTCAAGATAAAAATCAGGAAATGACTTCAAGTTTTAGTCAAATAAAAAGAAGGTAGTTGGTTTTTCACAGGCTGGCGTTTCCTTTTTTCAGTGCCAGGAAATCCGTCCTCGTTTTCTTTTCCCAGAGAAGTCGCTCACTTTACACTTCTGGAAATGCCACAAAGGCGTATGAAAGGTAAATCTGTGGAGAAACCAGGGAGTGAGGTGTAGCATTTACTGTGACCTAGAATAACTGAAACTTGCCTTTGTGTCGCCTTTTTCCACCAGTCAAATGCCAGTAAGTAGTTTGTGCGCTACAGAAAGTTAAAGTGGAAAGGTTGGGAGAAATTTACCAAAACACAGTTCAAGGTGCACGTTATGTAATAGCTATGACTCACTTCATGTCGCCCACTTTGCCGTTTATTTGATCAAAAGTATCTTAATTACTGAGAAAAATACAGTCTTTGTCCAAAAAGATGCAACATGCAATCCAGCAATACGCTGACGACACTCTGTTATATTTATCCATGAAGCCAGTTGAATCCAATGGCACACTTTGATTTCACGCACATCTTGAGACATAAAAATCAACGACTTAACGTTCTGCTTTGAAACTCCCACATTAGAAATGCAATCACAACTGCTTTCTTTCAGCTGCGCAATATCACTAAAATTAAACATCTTGTCCCAAAAGGATGCAGGGAAACTGGTCCATGCATTCATCTGAGCTGGACTATGATAATTCTTTACTAAACACCTACAAAGCTCTCAACAACCTAGCTCCATCTTATAATACAGATCTTATTGTTCCATATTTTCCTAACAGAGCACTTCGCTCTCAGATTGCAGGTTTACTTGTGGTTCCTAGATTTTCTAAAAGTACACTGGGAGGCAGAGCTTTCAGTTATCAGTCTCTTCTCTCGTGGAACCAACAAGGTTCTGTTTATGAGGCTGACATCTTGTCATTGAATTGACAGCGATTCAATTTGAATCTGGACCTGAACTGGATTTATGATCCAAACTTTCTTTTGTGCGCCGTGAGTATGGGATTGGGGATCCGTTGTTACGGACTGTTCGGTCTCTATACATGCAGTGAGAGAGTTTGGTTCACATTGCCGGTAGTAAGTCGGACCTCTTCAGGGTGGGAGTTGGACTCCGCCAGGGCTGCCTGTTGTCACCGATTCTGTTCATAACTTTCATGGACAGGATTTCTTGGATTCCATCTCTGTTCTTTGCAGATGATGTGGTCCTGTTGACGTCATCGTGCCGTGATCTTCAGCTCTAACTGGAGCGGCTCGCAGCCGAGTGTGAAGCGGTTGGAATGAGAATCAGCACCTCCAAATCTGAGGCCATGGTCCTCAATCGGGAAAAGGGTGGATTGTTCTCTTCAGGTCAAGAGTGAGGTTCTGCCTCAAGTGCAGGAGTTCAAGTATCTCAGGGTTTTGTTCATGAGTGAGGGAAGAATGGAGCGTGAGATTGACAGGTGCAGCGTCTGCAGTATTGTGGACTCTGTGCCGGTCCGTTGTGGTGAAGAGCTAAGCTGTAAGACAAAGCTCTGTTTTTACCAGTCGGTCTACGTTCCTACCCTCACCTATGGTCACGAGCTCTGGGTAGTGACCAAAAGAATGAGATTGTGGATACAGGTGGTTGAAACGAGTTTCCTCTGCACGGACTCTCCCTTAGAGATAAGTTGAGAAGTTCAGTTATCAGGAGAGACTTGGAGTAGAACCACTGCTCCTCCATGTCGAGAGGAGCCAGTTGAGGTGGTTCAGACATCTGTTAAGGATGCTCACTGTGAGCCTCCCTAGAGAGGTGCTTCAGGTATGTCCAACTGGGAGGAGACCCTGGGAAAGACCCAGGACACGGTAGAGAGACTATGTCTCTTGGTTGGTCTGGGAACGCCTTGGAGTCCTCCCAGAAGAGCTGGATGTGGAAAATGTCTGGGCCTCCCTGCTCAAGCTGCTGCCCCCCTGAGACCTGACTTCAGAATAAGCAGAAGATAATGGATGGATGGATGAAACTTTTTTCCTCTGGTGTTCAGCGCCCTGAGATGACGTCTGTTGTAAATAGGTGCTGTGTGAATGGAGCAGTTCTTCATAGGTCAAGCACACACCCAGCAGTGTGAACACCAACATGTAATCAGAAGGTCACAACAAGGGCAGCGTTTCTGAGAGCCCTAATGCTGAACTGTCTAACCAGGTAAAACATGCTCTGGTCCTAATGGAGAATCTGCACCTTCAGAGACCTAAGAGGTCCTAAAGGTGAGAGCTCCATGCTGAGGGAATAAATCATTGGCTGCTTTATGGTTCATCAATTCTAGAGGCCACTTTGTATTTGACTCAAAATATTGAGTTTAATTTTTCAGTTAACGTGTTTTGAACTACCATACCAAAATGAACAGAAACTTTCTATGAAGTGTTTAAATAATGTAAAATGAATGTCATAGTATTTTAACCATCTTTAATATGAACCAACTAAATCTATTTGTTGGAATTTATATATGTGAAAATAACAGTGGGTGCATCCATGGATACATGTAACAATAAAGACAATCAGAAATAAATCCCACAAACCAGCTATTGTGTGTTTGAAAGTCTCATCTCCGTCCAGTTCTGAACTTATAGATATGATTCAGAGATCATTACCTCCATTAAACGAGACAAGTTTCTTTAGAAGTGACAGAAAAGGGAAATGTGAAATAGATGTAAATGATAAAGTCACTGATTCAGGACTACGTGAACATAAATTTAAACTGACTGAAATAAAAACACATTCTGAAGCGATATAAGAATATTAAAATACCTTACAATAAATAAATATATAACCTTGAGTATGAAAGAAGGCATGCTGCCCAAACATAACCAACACTCCTTATTACATGCTGCTGATCTCAACGTTAAAAACTGGTTAATGGCACAAATTAAAGCTCCAATAAGCTACAAACAACTCAAATAAAATAAAAAAGAAAACATCCATGAAAGAAAGTTGGACTTTACATGACTGAACTGCAACTTAGAAATACAATGTTTACACAAATGTAGGCCTACGTTTTAGTAATTTTATATTTTTTACCAAATAATATTGAACTCATCTGCAGAACACACACTCGAGTTTCCATCGACT